GTAAACGGCAAAATGTTGGGCTGGGTTCAATAGAGCCTAGGCAGGAGAGGAGACCTCCTGGTTCTCTTAACTCAGAAGATAAAGATGGTTGTAGGCCAGGCTCTGTGGATGTCAGGGACTAGGCAACCTTGGATAGGGCTTTTGCCTCTGTCCCAAAAGGCCATAAGGGCATGTATTCTCAAAAAAAAAAAAAAAAAGGGATTCTTCCATGTAGAAAAAAAAAGGTCTCCATCAGCTAACTTCTTCTTAGCTTTTCCTTCACTCCTTAGCTTAACTTCACTCCTTTTCCCTATAGTTCACAGACAGCAATTCCAGGGGAGGCCATTCTTCATGGGTCCTCATCTATAACCAGTTCCCACCACAGTAATACAGTTTGCTAATGAGAGGGAATTGATCATGAGTTCTGCCTGCCAAAAAAGAAAAGAAGATATTGGCAGATAAAATAGAGCCCACAATACCCATCCTGCTACCTGGAGAGCCCTTAAACCCCTGTCCGTAAAGAAGGCCTGCTTCTATTTCAAGACCCAAGCTATTCTACAGACGTTCACCCACACCTGCTCCCAGGAAGAACTGGATACACTGTTTGGGCCACTTTAGCATCTTATCTACACCTTTGTCATCTCCTTTGCTTGCTTTTTGTTTTTAATTTGATGTATATTTGTTGTACATCTATACATACACATCTTTCCCACATTAGGTGTGAGAATCTTAAGAGGTCACAGGCATTTCTTCAAAAAGACATCCATACAAGTACATGTGTATTTTGACTACAACCACTCTCTCCTCTTACTCCCCCTTCCTGTTAATCACATTCATTTCCCCCAAGCCAGACAACCTTGACTCTCCTTTCCCATGTCTCTTGATTCTATGTATCCATATAGAATCTGTGATCCCCAAATTAAAGAAAACAAGTGGTTGATATTTGTCCTTCTGAGTCTGACTTATTTTGTTTAACTTAATGATTTCTGGTTGCATCCGTGTTCCTGCAAATGACCTAATTTCGTTCTTATTTATGGCTGAATAAAACTCCATTTATGTGCTCATTCATCTGTTGATAGACACCTAGGCTGACTCCATAACTTGGCTATTGTGAATAAGGCCAACACAATTATTGTGTGAACACAAATGTGTTTGATATCCATGTAGTGTCTCCTTCATACACATGGCACCAGATTCCTCCCAGGCTGTCAGTTCTATAAAAGCAGGGATCATGTCCCCATCATCTTAGCATCTTCAGCCTCTGCTGTAGTGCTTGGAAATATCCAGGGACCAGAGGCTTGGATGTTTGGAAGACATGGAGGATGTGATCACCTTCTGACTGGACAGAGAAACCAGAGTGCTGGGTTCAAGGGAAGCAGCTACCTGCTACTGGACACTAATCTCTGCATATTCCTGGAGCTCCGTCAGGGAGGAGCCTGTGTATTCTGTGTAGCAGTGACTATGCCTATAGACTGTACCACATGCCTAGCCAGCCCTGGTACCTTACATGTGGCAAGTACTACCCTTCATCACTGGATGTGAGACTCTTAAGAGGTCACGGGAGGTCAACGTGACTTCCTTGGGGCTAAAGTTTTCTTGTTGGGGCCGATATTCCTCCATAAATACTGAACCTGTGTCACTGTAAAGCAGCCCATAGTTACCAGGGCCACACACTATTGCCTGGACACCCTGACCGTCAGAATTCATTGCATCCCTGTGACCACAAGGACGGGACTCCCTCCCCTTCACATTGGCCATTCCTCCTCATGTTTACTGTCTTTTCATCCCTACCTGTGCACATTCTCATTAACGCCCTCTTCTGGCCTCTGTGAGCACTGTATCCACATGCACAACTTGTCTCACCCTGTTCCCCACAGACACATAATTGAAAATAAAAATGAAATCTTTTCTCAAAAGCACTATTCTGTTCTTGGAAGCTGACCTGGACACTCTCCTCCTAAACAGTGAGGCTCTGGCTATATTTTCTTGGTTTGTGTCCCTGTTATAAATTCTTCACACCTCTAAAGAAGCTACGAAGATGGCCAGCATGAGACCTCTGACTGCTTCCTCAAGGCAGCAGCCTTACTCCTGGCAAGACACTGAGTTCACTGCCATTATTGTCTACAGTGGAGATCACCCTGTCAGGAAGGGGTTCTGTCCAACTGTCTGGACCCTCTAAGCAGCAAAACATAGAGAGAAAGCAAAAGGCAATAGAAGATAAACTAGTCGGGCGGAAGTGTGAGTCAAGCACATTTATGTGCCTTTTAAAAAGAAGCACCTGGTAAAAATATTGCCACACTTGATAGGGAAAAGACAGTATCCTTAATACAGAGGCCTTATGGAGGAGCAAAAGGGAGAGACACAGTTTTTAAGAGAGAGATGTAAGAAGTCATATAAAAATGACAAAGCAAATGATTAATTTAAAAAAAATCAGGGCAGCCGTGGCACATGCCTTTAATCCCAGCACTCGGGAGGCAGAGCCAGATGGATCTCTGTGAGTTCAAGACCATCCTGGTCTACAGAGCAAGATCCAGGACAGGCACCAAAACTACACAGAGAATCCCTGTCTCAAAAAAAAAAAAAATCAAAGTCCAGCAACAGAGAGATGCAGGGTATCTTTTAGGGGATGTCACTTATCAAATTGAAACACTTGTAACTGTAATATTGCAAGACCTGGTGGTTACAGACCTGTAACCCCAGCTACTTGGGAGATTAAGGCAAAAAGACAAGTTCAAGGCAAGCCTAGGCTACAGAGGGAGTTCAAGACTAGCCTGAGCAACTTAATGAGACCATGTCTCAAAAAAATAAATAAATAAAACGAATGGGCTATAGCTCAGTTGAGCATGCACAAGGTCCTGGATTAGACCCAAGTCCTGCAAATAACAACACAAAGAACATCAAAACAAAGCACCTGTGGGGCTGGCAAAGATGTCATGAGATAGGAATTGGGAAAACGAACCTTGAATGCAGTTGTGTGGGGGGGTGTCCTTTAGGGCAATATGAGAGAATTACCAAAGGAAGAAAACAGAGTGCAAGTCCCTGATGTGATTCCCAGCCATGATGAGGGTGGGAAGAAAAGGGGACAGAGGAAAAGGAGGAGGAGAGAGGGAAGAGGAAAGGAGAGGAGATGGAGAGAAAGGAGCTGTAGAGGGGAGAAGGAGGGAAAAGCAGAGAAAGGGGGAGGGGAAAGAAAGGAAAAGGAAATAGATTCATTTTTAAAGGTATTTTGGTCATAGAGGAACCATCCATGTCATTGCATTGTGTAGAAAATTCCAGAATCATCACTGATAGAAAGCATGAAATCAATTACGTGTATGAATGCATGCTGTACATAGTAAAATACATAGTTGGATCAAAATGTGTACATAAAGATTTTTAGGAATTTTCTCTGCAGTTTGTAAGATCTCCAGCAATTCGTTTGCTGATTTTTACATTCCATGGGTTTTTCAGTAAATCATATAAAAGTAGAAAATGGTTCTCTTACAATTGCTTCTGATTGCCATCAAATCCTTGCTTCATTATTCTAGCTCAGCTGCTCTTATTCTAAGACTATTTTTTATGTGTGTTTGTATTTTGTCTGCATATATATCTGTGTGAGGGTGTCAGATTCCCCTGGAACTGGAGTTACAAACAGTTGTGAGCTGCCACGTGGTGCTGGGAATTGAACCCAAGTCCTCTGGAAGAGCAGCCAGTGCTCTAAACCGCTAAGCCATCTCTCCAGCCCTCCAAGATTATAGCTTTCACTTTCTTACTCTAAGGCTGACCATTCCTATAAACACATTGTGAGTCAGACTCGTGAAGACATACCACAGTCTGGTTTAAGTGGCCTGTGGAGACGAGTTAGCACTTAGCAGAGAAGACCTTGCATTTGTTTTGACAGGAGGAAGAGGTGTTCACAGGCATCTCTACCACACCTACCCTTCACATACTTTCCCTGGAGGTGTCAGACACTGGGGTATCTGTTGAGAACCAAGGTCAACATGACCCGAGACACATCAGCACTGCGCACATTCTTTTTGTCTATCCTCAGGAGGAGCAAGTCCTTCCCTCTGAGAGTTATTTTAGCTTATATTTGAATTATTTTAAAGAGACTGTTTTTGTGAAGTTAAGGATATGGTGCCGTGTTCAGTGTCCACCCTCTGCCCACTGTGAGGCTGGGTTTCTCGTGTGTCTTAGAAGTAAGGAGCACAGAAATAAGTTGGCCTTTGACAGTGTGAATAAAACACTGTAAATCTGTCAGGAGCCAGGGTGTGGGGTAAAAAGCATAAGGGCTTAAACCAATGACAGAGTTCAAAGGCAGCTCTCCTGCTCACCAGCTTTGTGGTTTGAGGAAGTTAATTTCTCAGAGTTGCAAATCTTCCCAGCTGTAAAATGGGGGCGGGGTTTGGGGAGCATACCCCAACCCTCCCCCAACTCTGCTGGAAAGCATTCATCAGGACCCTGACTCCAGGGGGCCCGGAACAGAACCTGTGTGCACTTGGGCTTGGCCACTTTCAAGGGTTGCTACTGAGAAGGCACAAGGCCAGTGTGATGGGAAATCTACAAGGAAGAAGTCCAGCTACCAGACGGTTGACAGCTAGACACATAACCCTGGCACTTACCTGCAGCATGTCACTTTAAGCAATTATGTATCTTCCTGAGTGTTAGGATGTACCTTTGAGAAACAGGAGCTGGTAACATCCAATACCCAAGGGAATGCATGAGTTCTGTATGTTGCTCAGAACCTAGCAAAAAGTTACTCCACTGTTTAGTTATTTGACACGTTTTTCCTTGTTCTAAATAAAACAGAAATCTAGGGAATAGCCTAAAATCCAAACACAAGAAGGTGTCTGTTCCTTTAAATTCTTCTGGTTTGTAGTTGGGCAGCTGTGAGTTGCGCCTGGCCCTCTCCATCCCCCACTACCCTGCCCTCTCAGCTGAGAGCTCCTGTGGCTAGCCACCACATGGGGTCAGGGCTACAACCAGCAAGCCTTGGCTACACTACCATGTGGTAATACAACTGCTGCTCCCTCTCTTGGCAGGTCCTTCAAACCGGACTTCATCCTGGTCCGACAGCATGCCTACAGCATGGCCCTGGCTGAGGACTACCGCAGCCTGGTCATCGGCCTTCAGTATGGAGGGCTTCCTGCTGTCAACTCTCTCTACTCCGTGTACAACTTCTGCAGCAAGCCCTGGGTGGTAGGTGACAGAAAGCCCGCATGGAGGGAACTGGGAAGCGTGAAGTGGTCTCCCAGCCTGTAAATGGCTCCATTCACCATCCAGAGCCTCAGCAAGGAGAAGAACCTTATTTAAGCAACCGAGCAAGCAACTTGACCCCAGGTCTCCTCTGGGAATTGCAGCCTGGAAAATACTATGTATAACACATTATGATACAGGATCGTGTTATAGTAATACTAGTCTTGCTGGGGATATAGCTCAGTTGGTAGCGTGCTGGGCTCAATTTCCAGACTCTGTAAACCAGATGTGGTGGTGCACACTTGTAATCCCAGCCCTAAGGAGATGGAGGCAGGAGGATCAGACAAGATCATCCTTGGCTATGTAGTTAGGAGTTCTAGGCCAGCCCAGGCTATGGGAGACCCTGACTCAAACAGACAGACAAACATACCTCGTTCTTTTTTTAACATTCTAATAGAATTTTCTTACTGTTGCTCTTCAGAGCTATCCAACACTTACTGAATACCAGAAAATTGCTACACGTACCCATGCTATCATGCGGTTGAGATCGCATCGTTCCTCTGTCCCACAGAGGAGAGGGCTTAACTTCAGAACTCTCTGGAATCTTAGGGCTAGTGAGTGGTGAAACCCCCCTCCAGCCCTCACTTCTGCTTCCTCCCCATTGATTCACTGGTCTCGAACATTCCATTGGGTTCCTCAAGTTCCCATTTAAATGTTACACAAAAGCAAAGGATCTTCCCAAAATAGCAGCCCTCCCCTCTTCTAGTACCCCACACATGGGTCTGCACCTCAATGACACCATTCCTTTATATATCATTTCTCTCCCTTAATACAAGCAATGCAGCCTACACACACATAGTAATGGCACCAGAGTACCTGCCCCTTAGCCTACCATTCTGGTGAGACAGTCTGTTAACAAATATGACAACTGTGATCTGTCCTATGGTATGTACCTTGGGGGGAAACAAAGGAGGCTCAGAGCTGTGGAGAAAATACCATGAAACGTCTCAGCTCTCTGGTCCACCCTTTTTGGCTGCCTGTCTATCATCACCTGGGAGTGAAGAACACTGGTTAGAGTCTGGCCCAGGAGCTAGACTGACCAAGGCCAAGAGTCTGGCCCAGGAGCTAGACTGACCAAGGCCAAGTTTCTCCACTTATGTGTACTCTCAAGCAATTGCATTAGCCTCTCAGAACTTGGTGTCCTTATTTAGAAAAGGATGATAATAATAGGGTTTTTCTGGTTTCCAGGGGGGACATGTAAAGTGTTTGTAATGGTGGCTGGTACACAGCATATCCTCAATAAATGGTGGCAACAATTCCTGCCTCTTACACATGGACTAAGTCTAGGCTGATGGTTCTGAGTATTTGTTGAATGACTACTTAGGTTAGTTTAATAGGTATGGATAGTCTTGGCTGCTGCCATCCTGACTGTGGTTTCTTTATGTCATAACTAAGAGTTTTGACTCATGGAATCTAAGATTTGGATGCCTGAGAAGGAAACAGGCCATAGTTTTGACAGCAGCAACTTTATTAGCACTCACTATGTCATGTGCTCAGCCCCAATACCCACATCCCAGGTATTTCCACTGTACAAAAAAGGAAACTGGCAGGGCGGCGGTGGCGCACGCCTTTAATCCCAGCACTCCGGAGGCAGAGCCAGGCAGATCTCTGTGAGTTCGAGGCCAGCCTGGGCTACAGAGCAAAACTGAAGCCCACAGAGCCGGCAGTAAGTGCTGTAGCTCTTCTCTAAAACCCACTAGCTTAGCTATGGAGTTACAGTCCCTCTTTGAACTCCAGCTTTCTTATCTGAAAAATGAGGGACACGCCCAAACAGTTCTCCAAGCCTTGTAGAATGACTGTTCTGTGCTACACGTGTGGGCTATTTCCCAAGAGTGCACAGAAACCCAGTAAAGAGCAGGAATTTCTTCAGCTTCCTTATTTCTCTGTCCCAGATATCGGCATTTTCCTGGCACAAAATATGGCTCTTCTTCTAGCCACGAGGTACCTGTGTTTGGAGAGGCCAAGGTGTTCTTCTGGTGTCCACCTGTAATTCTCCTTTGCCTTTTGAGTGAATAAGATCCTTGGTCCAGCCTTTTAAAGCTCATGATGACCTGTGATGGACCACCCTTTGCCTGCTTCCTCACTGTCCCCCCTGCACCTGAGGCCACAGCCATGGAAGCCACTGAAAGCCTTCAGAAACAGTGGTCTCCTTGAACACACAGGGTACCCTTCTTCCTCTTAGGGCATAGGTCCAATGAGCCTTCCTGATGGCCCACACCCTCCTCTATGTCCCCAATTCCCCATGCTCCCCATCAGCAATACCTTAGCATCTCAACCTGGTAGTGTTGCCTGTCTTCCCTAGGCCTGGCCTGGCCCTAGAAATAGAGACATTGCAGGCAGAAGGATGGCAGAACCCCCGGAAGGCTGTATTGGGGGTAAGGACCCTGTGTGAAATGGCCGAGAATGAGGTACAGTGCTCGTAGAATGTAGTTTAACTGAAGCCTGTGACCTGCCTACCTTCTGGGTCAGGGGCAGGACGAGGGGTAAAAGAGAGGGCGACACCCAGCCAAGGAAGTTGCCTTTTCATCCCAGTGGTGATCAACAGCTTCTAGAACAGGGTCAAGCTTCGAAGGCCAGGGTCAAGTGGGTGCCGGGACCTCAGTGGGAAGCCCCGGCTGGCTAATGAGCTCTCCTTTTCTCTCCCAGTTCTCTCAGCTCATTAAGATCTTCCATTCTTTGGGTCCTGAGAAGTTTCCACTCGTGGAGCAAACATTTTTCCCCAACCACAAGCCAATGGTGAGTGCTTTTTTAACTCCGCTTATCTTCATGATGTGGGATGCCCTTACATGTCTGTCTCCCGAGTCTCTCGGGGAGGCTCACAGCTTGCTTCCTGGCTACCTGAACTCCACATAGGAGCCTTCAGGTCCTGTGCTTGTGGGAATGTCTAGTGTTCCTAGGGGAAGGTTCAACTTCTCCAGGGGAATTTCAGGCAACAGGGCAAGTGACAAAGGTACTTGGCATTCTGTGACACACATCAAGCGACATCTTGAGCTGGCATCCTGGAACCAGAGGTTGAGTATAAAGGGCAAAAATATTTTTATGGTAAAATGTTACCTTCAGTATACTTTTCCTGGGACCTGGTTTCCACTGTAATTTTAATAAAAGCTGTGATATTTTACTTGAGCTGATTATTAAAGAGCAATGTGCTCACATGTTCAATTTCCTTTCTTTGAAGTGTGCCTGTGTTATCTCTGGGAGTGTACTAGGCCTGAGCTGAGAGATGTGACTTTCCTACCTATTTGGAAGGTTTACGACTAATGTCCACAGTTAGAATTTTGGTAGCAGAGTTTTTGAGCTGCTGGAATCAGATTACAGCATGCCTGCTTATGTGATTGGTGTGTGGTCAGTGCACTTGGCCTTGCAGGGAACAGGGATCTCAGGGAACAAGTGTAATGTGTGCTCATCCTGGCTAGCACTGTGGTCTGACTGTAGAATCTCAGGCTCTGGCTGCTGAGCTGGACAGGCCTGTTTGAAGACACTGCCAGGTAGGACTGTAGGCTTCACTGAGAGCAAGTCAGCCAGTCAGAGGCTCTCATTGGTTGTCTGTCTACTGTATCTACCCATCAGTCACAGAATCCAGCATGTCTGAGGCTCTCATTGGTTGTCTGTCTACTGTATCTAGCCATCAGTCACAGAATCCAGCATGTCTGAGGCTCTCATTGGTTGTCTGTCTACTGTATCTAGCCATCAGTCACAGAATCCAGGATGTCTGGTTAGTCTGAGTGTAATGGTAAATCCGAATTATCAATTTGACTGGAATGAAAAGCACCCAGATTAGTAATGAACTTTCTAGGTGTCTGTCGGGGCCCTTCTGTAGAGGATTAACTAAGCCAGGAAAGACCAACTTGGAATGTGGGTAGCACCATCTGTGAAGTCAGGGGCCCAGATGGGATTAAAGGAAGTGGAGGAAGGCTGGGGCTTCGGCATTCTCTCCTACTTCTGGTCTACCATGATGAAAACTGCTGGTCCTATCACAGCCTCCTGGGCATGGTGACCCAAAGCCTCTGAAACCGGGAGCCAAAACAAAACAACCCTCCCCACCATGAGATAAACCCTCCCCACCATAAGATAAACCCTCCCCACCATAAGGTATTTCATTCTAGTGTTTGGTAACTACAGTGAGAAGGTCTCAATAACACAGAACATGTATAAACGAACCAAGAAAATCCAGGGTTTGCCTTCAAAGCAGTTGATTACTAATTGCCGCCCAGTCTACTGACTAGATTTTAGACCAGAATCTAATCTCATTGAGAGTGGCAGAGCCACAGCAGGTTGATAAGGGTCTGTGCAAGAGCATGTATAATGCTATGCCTGGTGGGTGCTCAGAGTGGAAAACCTTTCAAATTAGAGCAAAGGCCATGACCTGGAACCCTGGCAAGGGAGGTCTCACAGTTATGGGGTGGTATGTAGTAGAGAGTAGCTCACTGAGTGCTGGGAGAAGCTCGCCAGTTGTCCTAGGGCCTCAGGAATTACTGGTATTCCCAACTAGGAGCTTCACTCAGGATTTCAGTTAGACCACTGGCATCAAGTATGGCTGCCTGCAAGCTTGTACACCCTCTCTGCCCATGGGATTCTCAGGGGGGAAAATGAGGAAGGCTGAGACAGGTCCAGCCCTGTCCACTCACAGGGGATTAGAGATCTTTTGAACTCTGAACTCTGAACTCGGAGTTCAGAGTTCAAAAGATCTGAATGAGGGAGTTAGTGCTGAATGAGGGGTCGGGGGACAGACACTGGAACCTGTTGGCTTCTCTCTCTCTCTTTCTACTTATAATTGGTAACTATGTTTCCTAAAGTGGAATGAGCTGAAGATATGACACTAATAGGGGCTGAATACCCATACTCTGAAAAGAGACAGAGAGCAATGTTAAACGTCACATGGCACATGATATATATATATATATATATAAGGGGCTAAGGACACTCTCCTGAAATGTGTTGCAACAAAGGGGCTTAATCAAGGTGACCCAAAGCTGGACATGGGTGGAAGGAGGGTGTGTGCAGGAGTGTGGAGGAGGACAGGCAGCATCTGCTTGCAAGACCCTCTCTGATATCAATGTAACACCCCACCCCACCCCCACCCGCCACCGCAAGACGGGACACAAGAAGGCAAGAGACAGCGGGTGTGTGATAGAAATAAAACCACTTTACTGTTTAGAATAAAGGACATACTATAAAAAGTGAACATTATGCAACATTACAAGACAATATACATTCACGGAATATAAAATTCATAAATAACATGGAGGAAAACTGTAAACAGTGCTACAAAATTTAGCAACAAATACATTCCTTCTAGACAGGGTTTTCTCTGGTTGGTGTCTCTTCATCATTACTGGGCTTCAGCACAGCCAACTGGTTAGAGGAAAAGTAGTCATAGAGAATCTAAGGTACCCCTGTCCTCAGAACATGGTCATTTTCTTAGGTCCTCTCCTCCTCAATCCAAATAGCCAACTTAGATCTGTCAAGACCATCTCTCCTGCCTTCTCCCATTTCATTGTACTTCTGCCATTAGAGTTAATTTTTAAAGTTTCTCTCTGATACAAACACTAGAGTGATGTGTTTAACTTTAAGTAGCAGGGAGCCAACCACCTATGTGCCATCTAGGCATGAGGCATGGAAGGGTAATGCCTCCTGGACGTACATTATCTCCCAGACAGATCTATCCCCAAAAGCCATTGTGTGTCTTTTATTGTTTAAGAAGCACAGCATGAAACCGTGTTTGTGTGGCAGGGATAGGGCTGGAGAAGGTAGGCACTGAGGTTTCCTTAAGCTCCCTGGCCTGGCTATAGCACAGTGCTAGCCTGGGAAGCAACAGCTTGTGCATAGTTATTCCTTGGTTGGAAGGCAGAAAAGATGCCTGGATGAGACAAAGAGAGCTTGGAGTCCTGGTTGCCATGGCCCCGGACTTTGCAGAAACCATAGCTTCCTGGCTGAGTAGGAGAAAGGTCTTGGGAAGTGGGTGGCAGATGACCCAGGGCTAGCTGATACAGGACAAGAACATCAGTGTCCTTTTGTGTTTGTTTTGTTTTTCTTCTTCTCCTTCCCACCCTTGGGATTCCATGGGGAGGAGGCTGGAGGAGGCTGTTTCTAGTACCTTCTCTTTCCTTGAACTCCAGTCTAGCTGAGTGCTTGAGTCCCAGTATTCTACCCTCCATTCTACTGTAGAATTTGAATCAGGAAAATGGCATGTGGGTTCCTTCCTTTCTTCCTTTCTTTTTTTTTTTTCTTCTTCTCTTAGACACAGTGTACACATGAGAGCCTACACATGGCACATGATTTAGCAAAATAAAACATTCATGATATGATTGAAATATCAAAGTGTCTCAGCTACATAAATGATTTTAAATTATACAGTAAGTGAACAGGTGAAATAAACAAAGCTATAGCTTATAGAAAGCTCAAAAACCGCCCTCTGATGATGTGACTTTCCAGAAGACCCTTCCTGGCCAAGGACTTCTCACCAGGGCCTCGCCAGCCACCTGGGGCCATGGTTCTGCAGCTCATTTTATCTTCAGGCTAAGTTCAGATGCCTCATGCTCAGATCTCACCTCGTCTCTCCCTCTAGGAACAGGGTGATGACATGGGAATTGAGAATGGCTACAGGCCTCTTGAAAGAGACTCTGGGGCGAGCATAAGGGAGGGCACTTGAGCAGGGTAGAGCGGGAGCTCCATGTTAGGAGACTCTGAGGTTGAAGTAAAGAACCCCAAACAGTAAGTCACCCCTTAAGAAGTACTGGTTTGCTGACCTCTGCTCCTTCTGCTCCACACCATGGGAAGGGCCATGCCTTCTGTTCCCTGTGAGCACAGGGGAATGAAATCAGCCAAGAGGAAACTTGACACCCATCGCCTGAACTGTCTTCCTGCTCTGCGAGGCTGTCAAACACAGGCCAAAGCATTGGTGTATGTGGGGAGGGGTCGGGGGACAGACACTGGAACCTGTTGGCTTCTCTCTCTCTCTTTCTACTTATAATTGGTAACTATGTTTCCTAAAGTGGAATGAGCTGAAGATATGACACTAATAGGGGCTGAATACCCATACTCCGAAAAGAGACAGAGAGCAATGTTAAACGTCACCACCTTGCCACCTCAAACTCTGTAAAATACACATTATCACCTACTATTGGCATTGCATTTATGACACTAAAACTTAAAATAATCTTATTTAATATGAAAATTTATATTATAGTTTTATTTTAAAAACAAAAATACAACACAACAAATGGCCTACAGTTTGACGGCAGAGCCTGGCCCCCTCAGTGACCAACCAACCATGTTCATTCTGTGAGGTGACCACCTCAGGAGGTGATGTTCACCCACTACTGAGCTGGGAAAAATGTGTATGCTGTCCCCAGATCCAGGAGAGGAGGCATTCCACTGGGGCAGAACACTGTGCAACTGTCCCTCTCCTGTGAAGGAAGGCCCCTAACCTACACTCCCACTCACCTGCCATCAGCTGGCCAGTAAGGCAATTAAGTGAAGGACACCCCGAACACAAAGCAGAAGGAAGAAAGGAGGTCAGAGGTCAGAGGACCCCAGTTATAGGGACAAGAGGGTGCTGAGGGTGTTCAGAGTTTCAAATTTTTAATTCAAATGAAAAAAAAGTCAACTTGGAATGTCACAATTTCCCATCAAACAACAAAAGAAAAGAGATTAAACTATTCGCATATTTAACAGCATTGAATAGAATTCTGTGTCCTATAAAAATTAGCTCAGAATCCCCTGTGGGTATATGAAAATGTGTATATAAACACGTCCCCCTAGATGAACTAAACACTACTTTGGAAATAGTATTCTCTACCCAAATCTACTTGACTATATCTGTGGATAGTGTCTGGTGTGTATTTCTCCAGCTTATACGTTGGCAAGCTTCAACCAAACTTCCCCAAGAATTCCCAGGAGGATGTCTCATGGGAGGCAGGAGAGGAAAGATGTTCATCTCAACCCTTTGTCTGAGTTTTTGTACACACAGACAGGTTGTCTGCTGAACTCAGGCAGATGTTTAAGTCTTCACCAACTCAGAAAGTTCTATTACTCTGACATGGATGCTTGCTCCAGGATCTGAAACATCTGGTCAACCCAAGTATCCCAGGGCAGGGGAACTGTGTGTCATCTCAGACCCGCTCCTGCAGTTTCCCCTTCCCTCCCTCCCTCTGACACGCAGACATAGACAGACCATCTGATCCAGACACACAGTTGCATAGCCTCTGTGGATAAGGTCTTTCGAATACCTGGCGTCTGTCTGCTTGCTGCCCTTGACTGACTAGGAAACGGTTGGACATCTGCCAGCTTCCTTTTCTATGCTCTTTGTGTGCTAGGATGAAGACGTGTACCTGGAAGTGGGTCTAGGATGTGGTCAATAGAGGAAGAAAGAGGAGTAGCTATTAAATGCCCAAATGGGACAGATTTTTCAATTTTCGTTTTCCTAAAAAAATATAGATTATATATCATGAAGAACAGGAGTATACATGCCTCGTTCTTTCTGGCTTGGCACCAGAGATTCCCAGTTAGAAATGGGTGATGTCAAAAACCAAGAAAGAAGGGGTAGGGGCAGGGCCAGGAGGGTATTTCCAAATCAACTCCATAGACAGCAGAGACTTTAAGTGTCCCCAGTGCTAAATTTGCAAGAAAACAGGCACTAATTTCATTGTCATCATCTGGGAAGAGTTAGTGTCTGGGAGGCTCAGTGGGATGGGAAGGAGGTGAGGTGGGGCAGGTCTGGGTTCAGGGGTCTGTGGCGTTGCTGATGCTCTTGTCTGGAGGGGCCCATCCTCGGTACCAGCTGCAGTAGCCACCCTTCTGCCGGATGCAGGCATAGTGTTTGGACTGATAGCCAGGGTAGCCAAAATTGGAGAGCATGTCGGTCCAGAGACACTCATTCTTGGAGGTCACAAAGCAAGGCAAGTAGTAGCAGGACTTGATCTGCAGTGACACACAAGCCACAGTTAGGAGACTGTACCACGGTGGGCCCAGCCTGGATTTACACCCTGGGAGCCCTGATCTTCAATGCTGACAGTAGTTACACTAGCTACTAGCTCACACCACTGAGCATCTACTGGTGTGATGCAGACACAGTACCTCTAAACTTTTGGTACAGTTCTAACTCCTTTCTATAAATAAGAGGTTTGGAAAGGTTAAGCAGCTTGCTCCAGGTCACACAATGTGTGAGTCCCAGGTTAGATGTGGGAGGGGAGTGTAGTGGGTAGTTGTTCCAGCTTTGACCTGGAAGTACTGCCCCTAGTGAGGCTTCCGGTAACTGCCATGCCTACCTATGACCTGACCCTGGGGCGGGGCCAAGACGGAGCACATCTGGATGTGCCAAGTCTCTTGGTTCCTTGTGATCCTGGATGCTGGATGGTAGACCGAGCAGAGTTCTCCAGAGAACCCAGCTGGACTGCACTCCACCTCTCCCGGATCCTGTAACCAACTCCTTTACTGGCTGTAAGTTACCCCAAAATAAACCTCTCATTTAACTACGTGGAGTTGCCTTAATAAATCCCCCAATAGGGGAGACTACCACCGTTGTAGGAAATGAAGGAATCAGAAAGATGAAAGCATGCATTTCAGAGTTCAGTAGCCCTGGGGTGGAAGGCAGACTCAGCAAGCTATATAACCCAGGATCACATAGCAAAGATCTCTGAGCCTTCTTTTCTTACCTGTACAATGAAGTAATAGTAATTAAGAGTACATGAGATTATTCTGAGGATGAGGGGAGAGCGTGACTCAGCTCCCTCCCATGACTTTATACTTGGGGAAGGGACTGGACCTGGTTGAAAAGAGGCGTTGGGCAGCAGCTGATGTCAGCAGAGGCCTCAGCCAGCCTGCCCACCAGGGCAGGGACTCCAGTGAGTCAGCTGTTAGAGTGAACCTACTTAGGACAGCTTGGCAGAACCCTCCAGGGGAAGTTCCTGTACCTGTCCTAGCCTTGAACAGCTGAGAGGGGCCAGGATGCCCAAGAGCCCTCATAACCCAGCAGCTGCCAAGTAGACACCATCCAGTCAGTGAATCCAGAACAAAGACATTCTTCAGAGCTTTCCTGCCTGCCTTGCCCCAGGGCAGCATTCCTTACCACCCCTGTACCACCCCCAATAGGCTGTCTGTCCCAGCAGAGCAGGAACCAAAGCTTCCAGACTGACACTATAGAACTCACCTTGCAATTGCAACCCAGGTGGTATCGGTAATTGAGCCCCTTGCGCTGGGACAGTGTGAGCTGGTCCCACCTCTCCACAAAGTTGCACAGCCCTGTGTACATCTTGCCTTCATAGACACGGCCTGAAATGGGATAGGAGGCAAAGGAATAGGCATTCTGTTAGAGCCCTGTACTGCCAGGGCCAGGCACTGACCCTAGGTTTGAGACCTCTTCCCCAACACCCTTAGACATGAACTCTGGCCTGTTTTCCGAATGATAATAGAGCTTGAGATATTGAGTATTCTGCTGAAGGTCTTAAAGCCACCAGGTCTTAGAATTCCTTAGGGTTTTGCATGTTGCCATTACTACAATGACAGCCTAAAGACCAGTCTGTGACATAAGACAAACCAAGGCCATAAGACAGATGGTCTGTCAAGTGCTGTAGAAGAGTGCTGTGCCTCTTTCTAGTCACGTTAAAGCTGAGATGCCACAAAAGCAGGACACAACCAGGTGCACGATGGAGCCAAGGCTGCCAGCCAGCACTGGGTAAACCAGACAGAACCTTCACCTCATGAGACCCATGGCTACGACCCTCAGGACGCCACTCACTCAGCTGTGGCAGACCCCGCACAAAGGAGCAGTGTCTTGATGCCCCCGGTGACTCTTACCTGTCAGCAGGTACTGGTATTTGTTGACCTCTAGCTTAAGGCCACAGAGACTTTCAGAGGCTTCCGTGTGGATGTACTGCACGTGGGGCATCTTACTGAAGCCTCGGTACATCTGCGGGCAAAAGGGGACATGATCATGAGAGAGGGCCCAAGGCCCAATCAGCATGCTGCTGTGTAGGGTATGAGCTTCTGGTTCCCTTGCACAGTCAGCCACGGGCAGGCTATTAACTCATGACCACAGGGTTCCCTGCACACCAAAGAAGGGCATCTGTTCTTTTCCCTCAGCCAGGTACATGTCCCATCCAGCTGCCCTACCCCACTCCTCTACCTCACATCTCTCAAACCACAACATCCCTTCACAGATCCAAAGCAGCTATTATGAAAAGCTCCAAGTGCTCTGTATAAGTTTCAACGGGATAGCTAGCCAGCCAGCTGGTCTTCACACAACATCCCTGTGACATGCTGGCCTATATAGCAGGATTTTCACAGCATCCTCACAAAATCCTCACAAAAATGGAGAGTAGGTACCAAGAACTCCATTTTTCAGATGAGGACACCAAGATAAATTCTATTTGGCCAGAGGCGGGTGAACGCATGTCAGGTACTGTCTATGTTCTTACTTTTCTGAGCTTCTGGGGTGGCACTGAGTTCCTTTACTCAAGATGAATCACATATACATGAATGAAAAAAGATCAAAACTTCTTAATTAAGCATATCATTATTACTAGATTAAACTATGTAAAATTCATCTACATGACTGAATCAAGTGGCTCTAACCAGAGGCAAGGCTGCAGCCCTTTGGAAACATTTAAAACACAAGACAATGGCAGGAGAGTGGACAGAGAGCAAGGATGTTGGGAATCTTCCTATGACATGTAGAACAGCTTGGGTACAGAGTTATCTGGGCCCAGTGTTAGTGACACTGAGGTTAGGAAACTGTTAGACTATCTAGGCACTGAATGTCCAGGACCTGAGAGGCAGGAGCCTAGGTGCCCACTTTACAGATGTGGAGCCTGAGTCTTGGACAGGCTCAGAGGCTTATCTAAGTCACACAGTAAACAGCAACAACAAGTCTGGCAAGACAACCCAGTCTGTAGTCTTAATGGCCATCCGTCACCATCTCCTCTTTCAGCCCTTGAAGCTTAGGACCCGGGCTTCCTCTGCATCAGCAGCTTCTTCCATTTCTAGCTCTGTGGGTCCTTTGTCAGCATGTGCTCAGAATACTTGCTGTGACTTTAACAGACTGAACACATTCTATAGTTCTAGGATGAGTCCATCTGTGCCACACAAGTCCTGATCCACGGAGGCCACACTGTCAACTGTGAGCCAGGGAAGGTGGAGAGGGACACCCAGACCTGGCCTGATCCTCTCAAGGGGCCTGGAATGACTGGTGGTCACTAGTCCTCTCCTAGGCGCTTCACGATAGAAAAATATCCCTGGCATGCATTATTAATTATCCAGGTAATTAATACAAGCCATACAGTGTACCCCACTGGTACCTCACAAATACCCCATGAAGCCTGATGGGCTGATTTTTAGTCCTCATTTTCTAACCAGCAAAAGGGTAGCAGACGCAGGGGTCCATGGGGCACAAAGCCGTCTGTTGGACCTACACAATCTAGAGGCCTCTCCTTGTTTACAGAGTGTACTTTCCTAATGGATTGGAGTACATCTCTTCTAACCCCTTCTCCTTCCCTGGGGCTTCAAGGAAATTTGGGGTTCAGTTACACCATGGGGGAGCATGGCTGTTGAGTCAGGCCACGGCAATGACTTGCTTGATGCTGGATGTACCACTCAGGCTCCCCATTTAAGACTCCTGATGTGAAGTACCATCGCCATGGCCGACAAAGAACAAGCTTCGGTACCAGGTAACTGCTCACAACGATTTGGGTTGGGGCAAATACTTCCACTAAGCACTTAGTGGATGGAGCTTGTGACAACCCAGCAGGCCCAGCAAAGGCTAGATAAGGATCTTTCACCACAAGAGTCTCAGGCACTGAAGGACAATGGCTCCCTGAGGCCTGCAGGGCAGGGGGTCTTGCAGCTGGAGGAAGCCCTGCCAGCGTTCATTTGCTTAGACAAACCTTTTCTCTGGTTTGTCTAAGCAAATGAAAAGGCACATTCCAACTGCCCAGCAGATCTGTCCTGCCCCCGGTCAGGACAGGCAAAGCACATGACCAGCACATGTCCCCCTGGGATCCTCCTGGGACCAACTGGGACATAATGTCCCCCACGTGCTGTCCCTTGCAGCCTGCCTGAAAGCATGTCTGTGCTGTACAAACAATAGCCTCTGGCAAAACAAACTGCTTTCCCATGGTCCTGATGGGAGATAAGGTCCCCACAAATGACGAGGCCAGTTCTGGAAAGTTCCACCTTTGCACCACAGCTCAATCCCAGCTAATCTCTACGGGTTTACAATAAACTCCCTGGATGTTCTTACAGCCTTACCCCTCACCCCCACACTATGGACCTGTGTGAACTCGAGGCTTGCCCAGGAGAAGGAAGGAAGGAAGGAAGGAAGGCCGTGTGCCTGTCCCCAGAGGTCGGATATGCTGGCTTCCTCATGTCCCCTGTTCTCTAAGTCCTTTCAGTCCTGTTCCAGGGCTGCCTGGCTTCCCTGTCTGACCCTCTGGGGTAGTCTAATCCCCAATAACAAAACCTCCTAGGGACCAGTGCCAGCCTCGCAGGCCTGACTCTTCCTCCAAAGACTTACGATACACCCTTTGCAGGCCGCACACCAGGAGTCGGTCACCTGTTAGACCACACCAGCAAACCCAACCTGGCCTTTTAAGTCCCCTGAGGGAAGTAGACATGAGCAGGTGAGAGAAATCCCCACAGAAGGTAGAAATGAGCAGCCAGTCTGCTTGCAGGCACCCAACTTTGTTATCTCCTTGTCCTCCAAGACCCCATGGTAAAGACCCTATAATTTGCCACTTTCTGCTCATACTGTCTTGACTGTTCCATTACTTCCAAGAGTTGGGAGGCTGTCTCATGCCCTTGGCATGAAGCTGGTCCATACAAAGGCCGAGCAGATTGCCTGGGACTTAGCGTGTGCTCAATAAATGTCACTTGCTAAAGTCTTGTTAAATGTGACAAGCATCTCCTTGTCTCCCCATCCTACAACCCCATGCTAAGCACAGAGGAGGCTGAAGAGGACTGGGGTGAATGGGCAGACTCCCATTCCCAACCAGTACCTGCTCTGACATGCAGGCAGATGATCTCCCTAGATAAAAAGGCATTGGCCAGTTAGTTAAGTGAGTCATAACACCGGGCTGGGAAGAGAGTCAGAATTAATGAAAGACATTAGATATGACAGAGAAACAAGCTACCCTCCTCCAAAGAATCTCCTGTGAGACCTTTTGCAGGCTGTATGTCCAGAGCCACACATGGTTAGGAAAGGTCACCTGATGTCTCAACTTGAGACTTATATCTGCCTTTAATTAAAGGCAAGACTCTTGGCATATCACCTAGTCAGAAAGAAGGTAAAGATTACTCTATTGAACACCCATCACTCTGACACCATGATCCCAGCAGAAGGACAGTGAACAGAGAGTCTGAGCCGGCCAGCCTGGGAGTGGTATGCTGGCTGGAGGCCTGGTGGGTGAAACTACAGTTATTTTGCCTCTAAACAACTCCTACTTGTGGGTGTGACACCACCCAGGGACATTCTGCGGACAGAAAGGCCTCCGGTAGCTGGGCCTCTAAGCCCTGAAGGCAGGAAGGAAGGCAAGCCAGTTTCGGAATTCCTGCCCCCCAGTTATTTCTCTGCAGCAACCTCAAAGTTTCTGACAATGGAGGTTGTTACAGAGCAGGCAGGGAAGGGGCCTCCGCTGCAGCCAGAAGCTCTGGCTTCCCTTTCCCCACTGCCAGAGGTTGTGAAGTGGCTTCCCACCTCCACCCACTCCTGGCCTCCCAGCTGTCTGAAGACATAAGCTGCTCTCATGACCAGGCTCAGGCAGCCAAGGGCAACCGGCCAGGGCTGACTCTGAACATTACATAACCAAGAGCCTGGGAGTGTTTCCACAACTGAAGCCAGAGCAGCAGGTTCCACGGAGGGAGTGCATCTAGCCACAGGCCTCGGGAAGGAATAAAGGGGACTGAGGGTCAGCCTCTGGGATAGCGGGGCTCCACCCAGGGGTGAGTCACCCCTCACCCCCAAGTCAAGTCCAACCTGGGCCTTAACACTCTTCTCTGAGGATTTTTCAGACCTTTGGGCCTCACTTTCATCTCTTTCATTAGATGGGAAGCATTCTCCAAGATTTGCCTATTGAATGTCAGACCCCCAACCCCGTAATGTCCAAGGGTGCAAAGACCAGCAATGTATAAAAGTCAGACAGTTCACATGGACCCCAGCACATCCCACCTTGAACTTGTGACTAGTCAGTGAATGTCTCTTCTCCCTTCATATAACTGTAATCCTTAGGCAGGAACTGCCTCATGGGCTCACAGGCTGCAAACACAGAGATCTGCATATAGTGAGGTGTGCCTTTAAGCACAGTGGCGGGGGCGGGGGCGGGGGTGGGGGGGTGAGGAACAGCTGAGTTATTCAAGCTGAAGTGCCAGTCCTTAGGGCCACCAAGGTAAATGTAAGAACATGCTTCCAGCAGCTACTACCAGTTCCTGCTTAGAAAAGACTCTACCAGTCAGGATGCTTGACCAATGATGCCAAGCCCAACCTCACACTACCAACTGATGGTAACACTATGGCCTGGAAAAGCACAAGGCCAAGGTCAATGAGCTCTTTAGAAGTAGCAACAGGACCAGGACATGGGTTCTCTGTGTTTTCCTTAAGACTGACTACCCTGCCATGCTGAGGAACCTTCATGGGCTTGGTGAATGGTCTGATGGTGTGAATATGCTTGGCAAATATTCCTAATGAAGTATAATGCAGGCAGACAACCAGAGCTGGGAAACAGAGGGGTCCCTGTGCTCAGCACTTATTCAATGTGACAGCAGTGGCCCTGTGGGTACAACACAGCTCAGCCCACAAGGGCGCTTAGGGACCATGTGGTCCAAGATGATGATCTTAGAGGTGTCAGACAGGCTACAGAAGAGCAGCAACTGTACTGAGGTCTCATAGTCATCAAGTAACAAAGCTATCTGCCATCTGGCTCCAAGGTTCGGTCTCCCAACAAAGACCTATGAATGAGTCCGCCTGCGCTGGCTTTGGAGCAAGCAGCCACCCTCTCTTCCTGCTGCTTCAGCAGCTCCCCAGGATGGGCTGGGGCTTCTACACCGAGCAAACACACATTCCAGTTCCAACTACTTGGCTTCCCTTGGCCATGACTCTTCTGGCAAACCCCCAAGATCCCTCCTGGGGCCAGTGATGACGTCACCCACCTTCATCTGCTTAATGGTGTAGACCAGCGTGCCAAAGGGCCCTTCCTTCACCAGCTTCTTTCCCACCACTTTGGCTCGGATCACTGTAGAGAGAGCAAGACAGAGAGGGAAGGGGTTAGGAAGGCCTGAACCACACCTGGAAGGGGCATCTCTTCCTGGTCTGCTATCTCATCAGGAGCTCTTCATGTCCTGGCACATCCACAGGGTTATGATGAACTCCAGCTCCCTTGGCACCCCAAGTCAGCATTCTGATTGGCCCACTGTGCCCAGCACTAAGCAAGGAATTGCAACCAAGTCTAGGTCTGAGGGGGCCTGATGAGTAGTCCCCATCCCAGCGCCACTGTTCATGGATATTGTGACCCAAGACAAACAGGAAACTTTGATTCTGGCTTCCCATCCCTAAAACAAGCTTCACAATAGTCTAGATCCTCTGAACTGGAGCAAATAGGTGCAATAGAGCAGGTGAAACACATCCTTGCCTTTGATGTACCTTCTTTAGATAAATGCCATTAGAATCATCATCCTGGGCATCAAAAATGGAAGGAATGCTACAAATGCACTCTCAGTGCACACCTGCTCTATGCGGTAGCATCAGTCATTCTTTCACAGTCTCCTCCCAGTCAGTGTATGCTGTCTCCAGTCGTGCAGGGCCTGGCTCTCCTTGGTGAGACTTTGCTCATCAATGAATAGGGATTGGTTAAGAGACTTTCCTTCTGTTTCTACTAGACTGTAAAGACACCCTCTCCCTCCAAAGCAGTCTTCAGGAGTTTTTACAGCCAGCCTGACAGAGCAATTGACCAGGTATTGAAAGGGGAAAAGTGGACCTGCAGAAAGTAGGTGGCTCTGTGTGTGTATGTGGGGAAGACCACCTGATTCTAAGAACGAGTGAAAGGTGGGAGCCGCTGCAGGGGGACGGTGTAGCCGCTGAAGCTCTGCTGCTAGGGTGCTGCAGAATGGAGGCATTTTGACTGTCATTTGGGCTGTGAACCAAACTCTTCGGCTCTAAGATGCTAAGATGCTCCTGACATTCCAAACTCAAGTTCCTTCAGTTAGACATGGAGCAAGCACACAACTCATTCCAACCCACTTTTTTGAGTAAATATTCCAAAAATGCTTGTGGAATTGAACACCCTTTACACATGTAAAAGGGTCTCTCTCTCTCTCTCTCTCTCTCTCTCTCTCTCTCTCTCTCTCTTTCTCTCTCTCTCTCTCTCTCTCTCTCTCTCTCTCTCTCTCTCTCTCTCTCACACACACACACACACACACACACACACACACACACACACACAAGCGCGCGCGCACGCGTGCACACACATTTTCATTTTGCTGGATTCCTTGGTCTTCCCCCTTGTAGAAATCCTATAATGTTTCTATACTCTTTGACTCACCTTTTTGCTTAAAAAATCTTCATGAGGAACCAAGTCCCCATCCCTCTAGGCTTTCTTGCTAACTGAATCTAGATCGCACTTTTGTGGTTAGACACGAAATCAGAACTTGAATGAGTCAATGGCCCCCCCTAGACCTTTTCACCGTCCTGGCAACACAAAGCCCGCGGGCAAAGCCAGCTCCAGAGGCCGAGGCCGTTCGTTCAGAGGGGATGAATGGCTCTTTCCAGGTCTGCTGTACAAGCCAGACATTGACAAGGTTCCAGAACAACATCCCTGAAGGCCCTGCCTCCTTTTCTTGTGTCTCACTTAGCTAGACCAGCAGCAGCAGCAGGCAGCAGGCCATCTTCCCAGAGGCCCCAGAGACTCTTTCATCTACCCTAACCTCAGGGGCACACTGGAACAGCCCAGCTGCTGGGCAGCAAGCAGATCCACCTGGACTTAACAACTGATTCTCATTTTCCAGGAGCTGAATCGAGTTCATATTCAACGGCTTCATTTACCCAGAAGGTAAACTGCAGAGTAAGGTTTTGTCTAAGGGGAAACGGCAAGAGGAATTCCTTTAAATAGCAGCATCTACCCTTTCCTGACTTGCAAAGAGCTGACCTTGATTTAGACATAAAATGTCTTAAGCAAGTCTGCCCTATAAAGCTGGGTACTTCTGGAAGCTTCTGCACAAAAGATCAGCCAGATCTTTTCTTACCCTGAAATGGCCTGAGCTTGGAACATTTTCATCTGGGGACAGTTTAGAGAAAACACACTGAGTTTTTATGCTCAGAGAGTTACAACAGAGTTCAAATCCTGCCGTTACTGTGTGGGCTCACCACAGCTCTTTCCCCTAAAAATCTCTCGGGCTTTCTTGGCCCAATGCCACTCACATCGATTACAAGTGACACACTTATAACTAGTGGAGGAACGCCAGAAAGACCTGGGCTTGGCAGGCTCCCAGCGTGGAGTCAAATCCCAACACGGGTGCCGTGTGACCACAGGGAATTTACTAAACCTCTCTGGCCTTAGTTTTCTAATGCATAAGGTGGGAGTGATGGCAGCGGCCATCTGGAAGTTGCTGTGAGGGACAAGAACAAGCACCAAGAGCAGTGTGTGATCTACCCCAAGCACCATGCATCATATCTCACTGCCACTAGCACTGTGCCCGCTAGTGCCCGCTACCAGAAACTCACTTGATAGTTGCCCACCCTAAAGCCCTGTCAGCTAGGACCTGTCAACCTCCCAGGGGATTAGGGTAGAGGAGAGACTCCTGGCTGGGATGGAAGTGAAAGAAAACTCATCAAAATACCTTGTAAAAATCACAGAGAACGGTAGGGAGCACACTTGAGGTGACCAGAACTAATGTGCATGAGGCCTTCAGGCTGAAGCATCTCCACCATCAGTGTCCCGTCTTGGCACTACAGATAGCCCCAAAGTGATCTAGTGGGACCTGCCAAACAAGGTGGAATCTGTGGTCCAGAGAGAGGGAGGCAGAAGCAGAGATGGGGGCCACACCAATGTTTTCTCTACAGAAACGAAACCTCTTGAAGCTAAACTAAAATTAAACAACATCCTGTGCTTCCAAAGAGATGTGTAGCCCTTCCAAGTCAAACTGCTTGCCAGCCCCAAATCCACCTATTTGGCTTGTGAATTATTATAACTTCATTTGCTTTAGTTTGTCCTGTGAAACTTGGATGCGTGTTAGTCTGTGCTTTCCTGTTTGGCAGTAAGGTTTTCCCCGGAGGCAGTCACTGGCCCAGGCCGGGGCCATGGGGAACAAGAGGGCTGGGGTGTGTCCAAGACTTCAACAGCAACAGAAAACTGCTTCAAAACTTGGAGCTGACATCACATCTAGCCTCTCCCTCCACTTTCAAATGGCAGCTTTGAGATGGACCATGCTAGACACAGGTTCTCTTTATTCCTGCTAGAGAGTGGCCACACACTATTCACCCAATGTCCTCCAGCAGCTGAGCCAGCCTGGGCATGGCCTAGGCTGGTGTCTGGAAGCATGAATGCTTGGTAGGGGTGACAGCAAGAAATACAAGCCCTATTTCCTATTTCCACAGACTGCAGTCTAGCAGGGAGACAAGGTGGAGTTTAGCACCAGAGAAAAAATCGCCAAGGGACGAAAGTGCTGCCAGAAACTAGAGGGAGGAGGCCCAGCCTGACTCAGCCTCTGAGGCTCCCTAGGCCCTCTGAGTTCTCTGCATCTGAGGGCATGGGGATTAAAAGGGACAGGAAGAGATTAATTAAGGAGTCAATAATATTTCAACTTAAGGTTCCTAAGAAGACACTGACTAGAGGCTGGGGAAAGATTTGCCCAGAATGCCCTGGTTTCAATCTACAGACCACAGAAAGGAAAAGAGAAGGCTGCAGGTGCTTGGGAACTGGCTCACAGATCCACAAATAAGTGTGGAGTTCTCAAGTATATCAGCGACCTGGAAAAGCAGGCAGAAAAGCACATAGCTTTTGGGTAGATTGGTCAATGTTTGCAAAACCAAGGCAGGCAGAGTACAGCTCTTCCAAGCATAGGAGGTTGTTACTTTTCTCCCTCCCCGTGGCCCACCCCCAACTTTAAACAAGAATAGTTCCAGGGCTAGCACATCACTGGTGTATCTCTAGGAATCACACATCTGCTATTAATCAACATATTCAGAGGACAAGACACCCTGGAGCTGGCCCATGTCTCTCTCCACAACCTTCCACCCTCCTCCACCAATCCAACCACTATCAATCAAACCGAGACCTTTCTCTCCCTGACCTAATGGACAGATTTTCCTACTGGCAGGCTGGAAAAGATTAAGCAGTGGGCTGATGGTGTGGCTAATCTGGGGAACAAAGGCCCCAAGTTAATGGAGATCACCTATCTCAGGTTCCCGTCAAAAGCTACACCACTCCATCTATTCTCTCCTAGGAGGCACATGGCTGGCTCTGGAAATGTAGAAACTCCAGGGCAGACAGGACTCTGTGTAAACCTGTCCAAGAAGGGCAGAGCAGAGATTCTTTGCTCAGCCAGCTGCCTACCAACTCCACCAGTTCCTGCATCTCTTTGCATTCAGTGAAGAGCTAGAATACATTGACAGAAACTGCCATCGACAGAATAAGCCCTATGTGCCAAGCACTGTGCACACTTCACTGCGGTCCCATGGGGGTGACTCCGTCAGATGGGAATTGCTGTACCTGTTATTGGTACCTACTGAGCAGTTTTGCATCCCAGTGTGGAGGAAAACGGAGGGTATCCCAAGAAAGAAGACTGTCATTGACTCTTTGCAGAATAGTTCATAACTGTACTCCATACCCATTGTCAGCTCTAATGGGACTAGAAAGGGAATGCCTGATATATCCCCCAACAACCTTCATCATCGACTTAATCAACCTTGAGGCTACCCTTCCCATTCTGTCTCTCTCCCTCGCCCTCTCCCTCCCTCCCTCCTTTCCTTCCCCTTCTCTTATTAGCAACAAGAATCTATAAATAATAACCATGAACAGATCATGGGAAATCATTTATTTAGCTTACGGTGCTTGCCCAGCACAGGACAATGTGTATGCATAAAGCACTTTCTAACTGTGGAGCTGAGCGGGTGATTCAGAGGCAGGGGGCTGGACAGCACTTACAGACTCATAGCACTTTCTGGCTCTTCAGAGGAAACCAGAAGCCTTCCCCTGAGAACACACAGGACCCCCCTGCCCTCAAGGTCCTTCTCAGGAAC